CAGTCAACTTTTTCCTAGTCTAATAGCCAGTTGATTTACCATTAATTTTGTAAAAATGACCAAAATTCCCCAGTTTTCATCTTCCTTCCTTCAGTTTCCATCTTCCTGTGATACTTAAATACTGATTGCTAAATTTACTTATTTTTTTCCACTTTTTTCTCTGAAACACAAACCAAGCAATTCATTCATCTGTTGATAAAGCAACAGGCAGATTCATCAATAATTAAATCAAATCTTTAGTTGCAACCATCTCTAAAGCAGTGTAATAATTGTTTCACTTTTTTGTCAATCCAAAATCCCACAAATAGGGGAAATAATTATTTTCTCCTTTCCTGAATTAATTTTTTTCTGAATTTAAAATCCAGAAAAAACCCCCAAATCACATAAAAGTTATAAATAGATTTGCATGCCTTTGAGTGAAATAAATGTTTGATCCCACAAATTGGCTGTGTGCCCAGCACACGAGTCCACACAATCAGTTTCTTCCATTTCAACCTCACCGTGACCATAGGTAAGACCAAAGAGATGCCCAAGAATGTCAAGGACGCAATTGTAGATGTGCATGGAACAACATGTCCCTCCATCTCGAGCTCAATGCAAGATCTTGTCTCATGAAGTGAGGATAATCATGTCAAAGGTGGTGAATCAGCCCAAAACTTCCTGGGAGGAGCTTGTTATTGATCTGCAGGCAGTTGAGACCACAATCACCAAAAACACCATTGGTAGCGCGCAGTGCCCGCAAAGTCTCCCTGCTCAAGAAGGCACATGTACAGGTCCGTCTTTGCCAGTGAACATCTAAATGATTCAGAGAAGGCTTGGGAGAAAGTGCTGTGGTCAGATGAAACCAAAATCAAGCTCTTTGGCATCAACTTGACCCCCTGTGTATGTAAGCTGAGTATGACCCAAACATTACCATCCCCACAGTCAAGCACAAAGGTGGAAACATTGTGCTTTGGAGCCATCTTTCCACTAAGGGTGTGGGATGACTTCACCACACTGAGGTCAATGGATGCAACAACAACAGTCCACTGGCCACTTAAGAGCCAGAAGATAGGCTGTGGATGGGTCTTCCAGTAACCCAAAACATACTGTACTGCCAAGGCAACAAGAAAAAGCCCCTTAAGGTCGTGGCCTAGCTAATCTCCCGATCTCAATCCTAGAAAATCTGTGGAGGGAGACGAACTTAGAGTTGTGAACTGGCAGCCAAGAAACCTTAAAGGATTTATAGTTTCTGTAAAGAAGAGTGGGCCAGAATCCCTCCTGAGATGTGTGCAAAAGCAAGCACTAAGTCATGTTTCGCACAAATGAAATACTTATTTCACTCAATGAGGTGCAAATCAATTTATAACTTTTATTTAATGTGTCTTTGTTTTATGGATTTTTGGTTGAGATTCTGTTAAAATGAAACTACTATAAAAATTAGAAACTGTTCATTTCAGCAGGGGATCAAATAATTATTTCCCCATAACATTCGCCAAATCACTGGTTTTAGATCTGAGGGATAAATAAAACAAAGATTTAAATAAATAAATACCATACTGGTGGCGGTTTGAAATAATAATTGACAGTTTTTGCTATGAAATACACTGAGCGTTAACGTAAAAAGTGTGCAAGAGTTTCTTTTAGTAAGAGATAATCATGTCTTTTTTCTTACAGAGCTGACAAAAAAAAAGAGTTCATTATCCAGAAAGAGTATATCTCCATTTAACTGACATCACCGTCTTATTAAATGCAAACTGAGCCAAAAATTCTGTGATACACCTCAGTGATTACCCATTGCTCATTTAGCTGACTCTGATTTTTACATACCATGTGATCCTCTGGTTAAGCTTCTGTACATTATTGCTGACAGTGAAAGGGGTTTACTGATATTTCTTTTGGAAACATTTTCTGTTATGGCTAGTTACTTACAGTTGCCTGTTACCCATGTGGAATTTGGAGCACTTCGTATAAAGAGACTAATGGATATTATTTTGCGTCATATTGCTAATGAAGCTGATCTCAGGCAGCCCTAATAACGAGGAAGGTCAAATAGGTCAGTGGGTGATGTTATAGAAAACTGTCACAAACTTGTAATTTGATAAGTAAGGGTTTCACTCAGGTCTTTAGGGATACGGATATGTGTAAATTAGCATAAAGACTGTGGCTGTTATGAAGGCATCCCTGATCCTCATTAATGCTTGTGTGAAGATGGAAAACCCTCATGTTTTGAAGTTTCAGCAGTTTATTTTTATGGCCTTACGTCCTTTTCCGACACTGTTTCAAGAAATCGCTTGTTTTGCAGAAAGGAGACCAAAAACATTTTGTATAAGATGTTTGTTTTTCATCGTGGCTGCAGAGGCATTTTTTCTGGTTTCAGTAGGTAACAAAAACATTCTACTCTAAGTGAGATGCTCAGCATCAACCTAAGCCATTACATAATCAGATTGTTAGCCACTCATATATTTTCTCTGACTACTTCACATAAATAAATCACCAAATAGATAACCCACAACTGTGTCTAACTGCTACTGAACACAAAGTGACACAGCAGTTTAATAAACATGTTATATCTAGAAATAAGCTTTTTTTTCTTTTCTTTTTTTCTTTAAATAGGCAAGCTTTCTCACTTGCGAGTACAGTTTATCCAGTTCATCTTGGATTTGTTTGGGGTACTCCAGGCCTTGGCAGATACTTTAGGGAATCAGTTAAACCCTATAAGCAGATAAATGCATCCATCTCTCCCTTCTGTAGAAGCAGCGATACATTCGTCTGTGTGGCTTTCCAGGCTTTCTTCAGCTGTTTCGCCTGATTCTGTTAGTCTGTGGGTATTTTGTGCTCATTAGAAAGGGGGCAGTAGTCACTTCTAGCTACTACAGTATGGCTAGCCCACCAGTGATGCTGTGTTTGTGGTCCAGAGAGGGGTGACTGGGGAACATCTCCTCTGTACCATGTAAGGAAACCAGGTGTTGCTACTCTTCTGTTCATCCACTCACAGCATCATTCTGCCAGAAGGGAAAAAAAGACAACGCATCAGGGTTCATTCTTAAGCTTGTAATATGTTTTCTGAATTTTCTGAAGCTTTCAACCGTATATTAACTTTTGTGTGGTAAGCCTCAAGCTAAGTCCTTTGGCCATCATCAACATGGTGTTTTCAAACAGGATGTGATAAGGAGATCTGAAACCGAAGGAAACTGCATACTAGCAGTTTCAGATAGCGACTTGTCTGAAACGAGAGATACCTGCAAAAAGATTATGTCGCATTAGCCTCCTTTTTATTCTAAATCGCAGTATTTACAGTATTTTTAGTCACTTAAAACTTCTGGTCAATGCCGTAAACTGAGTTCAGTTAGCATTTTCCCATAGAGTTCTCCATAACTGGGCAAATTTTGGAAACCAGCCCTCTGCTGGCCTTTACAATAAAATGCAGGTTAAAGGCGCTTCCACACTGGCTTTGCATTTCACACTAGACAGCTGTGCCCATCTTTTATACACTGTCTATGAAATCAAAAGAGCGGTAGGATAATTTTCTCAGCCTTTTTTCTTCCCAGCACCCTGCTGGCCATTAGAAAGGATTCAGTACACTCCCGTGCTGGCTTCAGTTTTCAGACCTGAAAGAGCAGTGCCAGTCACAACACCACCAAACACAATCTAAGGCAGTTTCATACAGAATGGCTGTTGGTGCTGGATGATGTAACCACATCTAGCTTTCCTTTGGCTGTGGTTTCCAGTTTTTATTGTACTGGTTAAGTGGCTAGACACTGACTGAATGCCAGAGGAACATAACTCTAACTGTCTGGGAAACAGAGGTCATCTCAGGACTAAAACCTGGCTTTAGGAGAAAACAGAGAAAAGCACTGATTTTAAATATCAGCTATTATCCACCTGTTATCACATGACTAAATTTACATACTCAGGTCACGTGGTAACAACCAGACTTTATCCTTGGTAACCCTCACACGACAACCACTGATGAAGGCCAAGAGATGATTTAAAACAATGGAAAAACTAGCGAGTGAAGAAGATGGTATTTAGGATAGCAAACATGCTTACATATTTTAAAGATTTCATAGAACTGGAGCCCACAGAATAAAAAAATGGTTGATACTTTGTGGATATATTGTTGCTTTATCCTCTCCAAAAAGCCAATTTATAGCCCAGAGTGCACATGTCTGTATCATCAAATTCCAGAGTAGCCACAAAAGTTGTTTGGGAAAAACTGGCAGGATCCCGGACAACAGAGACTCAAAACTTAATACTTTTAGCTTCATGGATAAAATTGCCTCAGTGTGTGCTCTGTGTTTCATGGTCCACACTGATCTTTATATAACAACATATTGGCTTGAAAATGAGCTCAAGGCCAGAAAACACAAAAACTAATAAAATGGGCCAGCTCTGCTTTTCAAAAAGCAGCCAGCTTCACAGGAATATTTTACAAGTCTGTAATTCTTGTTAAGACTCCCACCACAGCTCTATGAATCACATCCACCAACTGAAAATAATTTCTGCTGCCCAAACAATACGACTGCACTTTAATGGGAAAAGAAAAATTTCCACTTTCCACACCTTAGCAGTGATTTACCCTCCATCCTTGTAGGGACACAGAAATATTCTTTTATCAACAGTGTGACACAGAGTGCTTTTGGTTCTTGAAGGATACTTGACTGCACTTTAGAGAAAATGCAAAGTAAATGTGTGAAAACACGTCTAATAAAAGATCACAAACACAAGCACAAAAATAAACACAGAAAGTTGCACCAACCCCATCTTGCTTTTGGCAGTGCCAGACGTCACTGCACGACTTTCAAAGAGCTAAACCTGCTCTTCTTCTCTTTTAGCAGAACTGTCTGTGCGTCTGGCTGTCTTTGTAGCATCTATGATGTTAATTAACTCACACCACATGGAGTGTGTTGCTTTAATTGGACAAGGTCTTGGCATGCTGCTCTGTGGACAGACAGGCCAGGAATAATTTCATAATGTACAATTACATTATTACCTCAGAAAAAGGGAACCAGTGAGTTCAAAGATGGATGTGAATATTCAGGAGACAGAGGTAGGCTTTGATCACACTGACAGAAAAAAAAAAAGGGAAAAAATGTGAAATTCTGTTTTAGCCTTCTGGGTCTGAGTGTCCTGTGCAGGCAGCACAGCAGGCGTTTAAGTGCAGGTGTCGTGCATGCCTACCTGTGACTGATCTGATGTAACAGACAGACTGCTCGAGTGGCGGAGGTGGCGTTTACTAGACTGGGCTATAACGCTGAGTCACTGGTGACTGACTGTAAGAAGCAGTGTTACAAAGGCTGGTGAGTCAAGTATATGTTGAATAGGCTGACAGATGCCACCTCACCTAGACCACTTTACCCATGGCTAAGCTCAGCTGGCCCAGTAAGCTACCAGCCTTGAGTGAGTGGGAGGTTGCTGGCATGAGGTGCTGCTCTAAGTCGGTGCCAAGTGATTCATCGGCCACCAGGGGAATCTGTGTGACGTGTTCTGCTCAAGTGAAGTGGTGTCATTTGATGTTGCTCAACACCTCATTTCTCCCGCTTTAATCTATGACTTCTCGCTGATGCTCAGCATATATTAACCAGAGTTGAGTTATGTATTTTTAATTTTACCACCAAACACGAGCAAAAAAAAAAGTAATAAAAAATCTGCTTTTTTTGCCTTCCCCAGATTGCACACTTATTTTTGCTGGGTAAGTCTTAATCAGCACTGACTGAAGGCAAACTAAATCTATCTAACATATGCAGTAAAAAATGCCAGACTGAATGACAGGAGCAGATCACATTTGTTCCAATTATGAAGTGGGGAGCGTCAAAGTGAGTACACTACACAAGGAATGTAAAATAAATGATGATATAGAAAATTCTCACTGCCACTTCTTTTAAATCTGCCTTCTAGTGTCATGATGCTGCTCAGTACCACTAATTGCAAGGAGGTGGACAAGCAGGCAAAAGGGGGATGTGCAGATACTGGGAAGCCAGCCAAAGCTTTAATGTCCTAATAGCTGCGGGTGGACAACCAAGCAGGGCTCTAATGCTGCTGAACTTCCTGGAAGGTTTCAGTGCTTTTAAAGGGCTACATGAGAGCCCTGCTAGGATGAGTGACGCCAAAATGTTTTTCTGTGGCAATGTGATATCTTAATGGGTTCCCAGTAGTTTTTGTGCTACCACATCCTGGTCATATGAGCTCAAGAGCTACTTGATCTATGTCATCCAGGACACATTAACTGTCTCAGGCTCAAATTAAACTTTTTGTTGCTAATGCACAACCAAGTCCTGCAGTGGTACTACTGAGTAAAAAAAAATTAAAATATGCATGTGGGGTAATCAGGTTGTTAGTTTTTAACTGTTGCAAATCTGCAACGCCTGCCTTGAGAGGGTTAATGTGAATGGATTTTAAACTGGATACTGAGTGCTAAATGGGAAAATCATTACCGCTATCTGGTAGCACATCTGTATGGTAAACATAAGACCACACCTTTATAGTTTAACCAAGCATAAAGAAAGGAAATGGGGAAAAAATGTTTCCCTGCCCAGATTATAAGTAGATGAGATAAGTAGATGATTTTTGTGCTCCATGAGTTGTCAATGCTTCCTTCAGTTTTAAACAGCTCCATGTGATCATCTACTAAGCCAGCTATGATAATTTAACCTCTATCGCCTGATGGTTTTGACTCATTCCACGACCACTCTGAGGCCTCCAACACCACCACCTTCTCCAGGTTCACGTCCTCGCAGGATGACCCCTCCTCTCAGTGTGAGAGCAGCAGAGTTAAGGATGACTGCTACTACTAAAGCTACTGTTGCAACGTGCATCAAGACAGCCACCATAGTTTAATAGGTCAGTTATGTATTTATTAGGTTGTTATTATTATTATTTTATTACATTTATATGTATATACATATACATTTAACTTTTATAGTATTTTTATTATTTTATTTTAATTAGGTCTAATCATTGTGTATAAAGATTAATCAGGTGACCATTTACGAATCTTATTTATATGTTCCTCTTTGACCTAAACACAAATATTTGAATGATTTTTGTGAAATCATGATTTCATTTTCAGCTCATCCACCTGAAGGACTAATGAGCTGGGAAGACGTCCGTCATCCATCCATCTGTCAATAATCTACAAGAATTGCTGACATTATGAGTGAGGATTTAATCAAACCTATGCACAATGATCACCCTCGAGGTCAGGGTCATATTTGTCGTTCTCAGTGGATTTGAATTCTCATTAGTTTGTGCAATACAGCCAGCCAATGATAGGAAAACTTATCACTGCTTTCTGTATTTCACACATTATAATAACCTGTAAATTACAATGGATCGTGTGCCAGATGAGCTGCATCAGTGATGTTCTAGTTTTTTTTCTTTTTTTTTCTCATTAGCTGAGCGAGTCCACAATCTTTTAAGTGCAGAAAGACTTCCTTGAACTCCTCTTAATAATCATTAGTTTAGTTCATTTGCAGGGATAAGGCGTCTCCAGGCCAGTAGATATAAGACACATAAAGGTCCAAGCCAAACAGCTCCTACATAAATATGTTTTTTATCAAGCTAATGGACAAACTATAACTGCCCATCCTGTTCAACACTAGGATAAGCACTTGAACAAATAGCGTGTAGAAAAACAAAGAGTTTGCAATAGTGTTTTTCACAAATCCGTTGTTTCCACTGAGTGACATTACCCTGTGAGTAAACACTGCTTGGAAACAAACAGTGTGCCCCCCCTGTAATGATAATCCATGACTCCTGGTGTGGCAGGCTGATCATTCGTCTCTCATCTGGATCATACATCGTTAGGTGAAGAAAGAGACAGTTATGTTTTTGTACTTTATTCAAACCGAAGTGAATGCGTGAATATGAGATTTTAATAAAGGGCATCCACCGAGGAAAAGTAATAACAGTTTCTCAGGCCGCCCACGCTGAACCCTGAGCAGATCTGCAGCAGCACATACCAGCCTGCTTACGTGCAACGTGGTAAGCAGGATTCCCACACGCTGAGTGCAAAGCTGCGCTCTCTCCCCCTCTCGCTCTCTCTCTTTAAGACCTGACTTGCCATCAGGACCTGCTTTGCTGCATGGGTTACCATTTGTGCTGGATTCCAAAGTTGCTGCGCGACTGGGTTGTTTTTAGATGCTGCTGGGCCTGTAATGGGACTTGACCCGATCTCTGGTTGTTTACATTTGGCCAACAGATGTCCAACTAAGTGGACCCAGTTTTCTGAGCCATTACTCTGCATCCTCTCTGGGGATAAAGATCTGTACCCCCGCAAATAAAACCCATCTAATGACGCACCGTGTGGGCAACGTCAACTGCGGTATACACACAGAGAGAATCGCCCATAACGGTTACTTAACACATTTAGGAAAAAGTGTAAGCGTTATCTGGATTCTCAGAAGTGTTTCATTGTGTGAAACTTTCCCCCTCCCCCCCAAAAAACTATTCTGATCTTGCCCCAGAAACTGCTCGTGACTGAATTTATCTCGCAGCATCTGTCACTTTATTATTGATGTCAATGATTATGCAAGAACATATTTAGCTCATGGTAAATTTTGTCCTGTTTGTAAAAAATGCGGTTACATTTTTTTCTTGGTATTTTTAGATAGAGATCTTACAAAAGATGATACCAAAACACTATCAGTCCTAAAGCAGTTCCCATTACTCATCACAATGAATTACTATGAACTTATCTTGCTCTCATTTTCCGAGCCCACTTAGTTAATGAGCAGTTTGCTGCTATTTCAAACACCTTTTTTTTTTTTAAATCGACTTCCTCTGCCTTAATGCTGGCTTCTCGCCAGTGCAGGTCAACCTCACTAGTCAAGGATTGATGAGTCCTATCATACTGAACTGACTTCACGTCTAATGAGGAGGCTCCGCGGATATGTTCAGTCTTAGTTAACCACGTTTATACCAGCAGAGCAGCCCCAGGATCCCTCTGCAGCATCTCAGCTCGTCTATCTATGGCTTCTACAGTCCACAGTGCTTCTTAAAGCCATTTGTCAAAACTCTACCCACATTAAATTATCATGACCCGAGAGAGATGTCTACCTCTAGGAGGAGACTGAGCCACAATCAGAGACAGATAGGGTGCACGGTGTCTGGAGACGCGCAACCGGATGAAAAATCGACTGCACAAAAATGTACGGTTGTTCAGGCTGCGCTCTGCGATTGTGCAGCTATATTCTGAAAGTTTAAACAATGTCTGGCAGAGAAAGAAAGGTTCCCCGCAGCTATGGCGTGTTACAGGTCACTCCTGGCATCATAAATCATCGCGTATGTTCTAACAGCAGTCGCATGCAGCCTAACACACCTTCAGACGCCTGTGACTGCTCTCAGCGGTAATAAAAAAGATACGCTGAACACATAGCAGATGGTGTTTTGCCGCAGAAACTCCACAAATGATTTCTAATGCGACTCACAGTCGACTCATTCAAGTTAAATATGAGCTAGGAGCCCCAGGCGGGCACTGCAGCTTTCACATTATCCTGTTCTTTTCTATTCATTAATAATGATAGCTCCCTAATGAGTTGGTCAGACTTAAAACCAAGAAATATCTCTCACCCAAATTCCTCCGATAAAATAAAAGAAAAAAAAGGTTTATGTTGACACAGAGTGCAGCTATTTTGAGATGAACGACGCATACAGATCAGACGCTTTGCAGAAAATGATTCACTGCTGGGCAGAAGGGAGTGGAGCTCTAAAAGTTCTGTTGAAGTCTGTAATCCAGTGAATTGACAGTTGGTAATACCACTGGTCGGATCTAATCGCGAGTGTGCTATCTATATCTTTGTGTTTACAGTGCGCCCCTAACGAGCGACTCTAGGAAATTAGGATCCGGAATGTTTGAGCTTCCTTGCTGCTGGCTTTCGGGAAAGTATGCTAAAAATGTTTTAATTTGTCCTGCTAGACACAGTTTCCTTGCCATGTTGCTGTCTGCAAACAAAACAATGAGCACAAAAGAAAACACGCAGACGAGAAAATGAGAGGCAGAATTAAAGGAACGATTTTTTAAAGGGTCGGCCGACTTTGGTTCTTAGCATCTGTAGCTATTAATGCTTTATTTTGTCAAACAAGCAAGAGGGTCTCTACTGCATATTTGCTTATCAGAGCAGAACAAGTTATTTTGTTTAATAGGCAACAAATGGTTACGTAACACTTCCTACTCTATGGCGTCAAATGAGGGTATCACTGTTTCTGAACTTCTGTGGTATAAATATTGAATTTTTCACTACTTGTAATTCTGTTTTTCTCTTTTGACCGGAGACAGATAATTTTAGTAGTTGCAGAAATGCATCTGTCTATGTCCATGGCATTGAAGTTGACAGCTGTCATGTGACGGGCAGTGACTCACCATGCGGTGGATGTGTTGTAGGGCAGGAGCGTAGGGCTGTGGCTCTCCCCTCTGAGGCTGTGTCTGGGCTGGAAGTGGGTGGGGACCATGGGCTGCGCTTGAGCCTGGGCTTCGCTCTCCTCCGGCATGGACCTGTGCCACTGACTCCGAGCCTTCTTCAGCCAGCGTCCTCCAAGACCCCATTTCTCCAGGTAGATCCGGCACAGCTCGTAGTTTATGGCTGAGTAGTAGAGAAAGTCCAGAGCCAGCAGCACCATCACAAAGAAGCCGTAGATCCACACACCGACCAGGGCTGTATAATTACTGCAAGAGACGCAGACTGGGAGAATTAATGCTGGATAATCTGAAAAAGATGATGATAAACACTTTTCATATCCTCAGAACCATCATCTAGTTACCCTTACACTGGGCTTAAATCCCAAAAGCAACGATAGTGCCTGCCAGGTGTGAATGTTTGCTGTTTATGTGGCAAGACCAAGACATTTATCAAGTCCTCCCTTGATAAAAACTTAAAAAAATAAATATAGGGGGGAAAAAAACACCATCTGTTCCATTTACTGCTTCTTAAATCCTGCTTCCTAAATTGGACAAAGAATTTCATTAGCACAAGAGAGTTTTATACGTCTCGTTTTGGCTCTTACATAGTTTTCTCTAAAAATCAGCGCTCTTATTTTTCCACCTCTCATAAATTTTCTTCATGTATTACATGATCCAGCTGGATTTATGTGGGGTGCATTTGAACTTTTTGTTTTAGTCCACCCACATCCATAAAGTATAACAAGGTGAATGAGCAGAAAGGGCTTCAGAAAATAGCTTCCTGAGAGGTTGGGAAAGCAAAATTTACACACATACACAAAAAAATAAAAATAATCTTGTGGTGTCACATTGCTGCTTAAATGCTCAGGGCATGTAGGGTGGAAATATTACACATGTTCACGGACTGAATAAATATTCTGACTCTGAGAGGCAGAGATGACACAGGGTGTTACTTCAAAATAGAGATTTATTTGGAGTGAAACCATTCTTTTAGTTATGCCTTAACTAAAAGAATTAGTGTGACTCCACTGATTAAAGCCCTTAGAAAAAGTGATATTCGAGTGGTTGCAATTCAGTAAATCAACTGAATCCGCTTCTGTCTGGAAACGATGCAGCCTTAGGGGTGTTTATCTGAATAAACTGCTTTAAAACAAACACCGAAGCTGCTTGAATGAATACCATGTCAGTAAATGCTTAACTGCATTTACCTTCCCTCACCTCTGCATCAGAGGCATTTACCTGCTATAATTTAGTTTGTATGTGTTCTAACAGACTAACAATGCAGGGATATATTTGAGTCAGTCTGATCGCAGAGCAAAGAACGCAGATTGTGCACTGTTTTTAGCGAAACTGATCAGAACCGCACCGCTAACACCAACGCCATTCAATATTAATCACATCTTTCCCAGAGACAGCAGATTGAAAGGATTATCTGTCAAATATATAACAATATTTGATGTTTTCCTGTGAATTTCTTGGACATTTACTCTAAGATGACTTCTCCATATGTTTCAGATCCACGATATTTCAGCTGCTCTGTTACTTTATAGGAGACGGCGCACAACATTGTGACAAAACCCTTGGAGTCAAAATGCCTTTAGTTTTACCTCAAACTCAACTCTAATCCCATTTTAACCATGAAGTGTAAGAAGGGAGCGCAAAATTATGGCCAGTTTAACTCGCTTGGCCAGCAGTAAATATCAAGCCTGCAGTCTTATTGGCCACTGAGCCAAGATAAAAGAGAGGCCCAACAGGCCATCTGACACTAAAAATGAAATATCATGACCTGCTGCAGGGCACTGTGTACCGTTTGAGACAGAGGCATGCTGGGAGGGCATTAGTACAAAGAGCTGTGGTTTTGTCACCCAAGCCTCCCACTGGGTGCTCCCACAGAAGAAGAGGGGCATTTTTCTGTGTCCTTCACTCAGTTTAAATCTGCTTATACTCCACGCCATAAGCACTTCTTTCAGTTTAGTTGTCCTCTGTGAGAAATCTGTCATATCTTGGCATGTGTGCAGTTTTTTTTTAATAATGCCACACTGATACAGCTCTGCAGTTTTACACAGACTTTTACTTTGAAACAGTCTAGGACTTTATAGACTCTATATGCTTAATAGCCAGCACTTAACCCCTGGCTTTGCAAAGGGTTTCATGTGGAGGCGTCATACTCAAAACACATAGGCTGCTTTTAGCATCTGCTCTCCTGTGTGGTGGTATTGAATACCTCTTCAGGTGTAGGTCAGTGTCAACAAGGTCTCTGAGCACGATACCATCAAGAAGGTCTGGAGACCAAAACAAGCTGGTTTCATATGATTTGAGATAAATTTATCTGTCGCTGTAGCAACTCACATAAAGCTCTCCCAAGATTCAGCGAAGCCAGTTTTCACTAATTAACTGTGACATGCAGGTTATCTTTTGGTATTGTTTGTTTCGTTTTAGCAGGATACTACTTAATGGTGTGGGTATTTTTTTTTAATAGTTTGATTTGTATTGGTTTTTATTAACTCTCCTCTCTCGATTCGGGTTGGTGGATGATGGTGTTTTCATGAAGTACACATGGGGATACTCCACCTGACTTTCATTTTTCAGTCAGGTGATTGGGCTGTACCACTGAGGATAGAAGGAGGAATGGGATGATTTCTGTCTTGGGCTTTTGTTAAAATGCTTTTGTTATTATTTAAATGTCTGTTATAGTATTAGGATGCTCATGTTATTTATTGTAGGGTTTTTTTTCTGTGAATAAATTGTAAATATCTCTAGGTTTGACCCCCATGATTACAGTGGAAAGAAAGTATAAGTTAGGGTTATTCAGGGTTGTTGGGGGATTTGATTTTTGTGGACTGGAGTCACTGTTAGGTTCTCTAATGTCCCTCTGTTTGTAAAGTTTTTGGTAAAAAATCAGTCAGAGCTCTGCTCTTGCACTTGATATAATCTCCATACACTTCAAACAATGTAGTTACTGCCCTGAAAAAGGATTGTTTTCCCCATAAAACCCTACAAGTGTGTTCCATGTTTTAAATACAGTCAGCCGAGGGTATGTGAGACATGTTTAAAATATTTTAAAACCCTCACAGCCTGAATTAAAATTCTGCACATTAAGCTAGCTAAGACTCTTGCAATTTTTTTCTTTGCAAATGCAACTTTTGCCTGAAGTTCACCTTTACTACTACCACAGGTCCTATTGGGCAATTATAATGCCTGATAGCGAACAGCGTGACAAAACTTATAATGATAACAAAAACACACACACACACCTAAAACAAGAGGTCAGAAACAGACTCTGATGGAAATATGTATAAAACTCCATGTATTTAGTCCTTGTCCATATGTGTCTTGTGCAGCCCATTTCTCATCAGTATGCCATGATTCCCAATATTTGACTTTGTTAAGATGGGCAATGTTCGAACTGGTAACCCTTGAGTAGCATTGGGCATCTAAGCCTGAAGATGCTAACTGTCATGTTTTATTTAATCTCTTTTCTAAACCAAGAAAAAAAGGAAAAATATGACAGTGCAGATTTTTGTCTCAGAAGATTCACAGTGAAAATCCATTTGACTCAAATGGCATCTTAAACGATTACTCACTTGTGTGCATAACCATCAGGGGTGGTGGTGAGGTTGACCTGCATGACCAACTGGAACTCAGTCTCGTTGCAGCAGTACTTGAAGGCGGTGTTGTTGTGGTGGCAGCAGAACATATAGGTCTTGTTGTCTGAGAGGCGTGGGCAGTGAAAGCCAAAGTGGTACCGCCCTTTGTGGTCAGAGTAAGGTTCACACACTCGGTAATGAGCAGAGAGGGCTGCAGTGGTGGGAAACAGGGGGAGAGAAAAAAAAAAAAGAAACCGTAGATGTAATATTCAGGAGCTAAACAAAGGACTCATGACCTTTGAGGCAGAATTTGTGTTTGTCTCCCAGTTCTGAAAATGACAACAACTCGCCAGGAAGCACCTTTCAACCTACAGCATCCAAATTGCAAAAACATAATCGTGAATGCTTGTTTTCTTTGGAGGCCTCTGAAGATACACGAGTGGATTGAATTCGATTAATACCTCTGGCGAAGGACAAGCAACACAAAACACGGTGTACTTGCAAAAATAATCAGAGAGTAGATATTAAATTATGCATGCAGGCGCATGATGGCAAAAGCAGTCATTTTTATTCTTGAAGGAACACAGAGACTATCAAACTGATTAGCTAATCATTCAAACCAGACAGCATCGTCTTATTTTCTTCATGTCCTCACACCATCCAGAGATTTCATAGGAGCTTACTGAAGTATGAGCTGGAAGTTATGGAACCTAATGGCACTTGTTGCAGCAGTGGATTCTGACACATCAGTGGGTAAACTAGAAAATGTGTAGGTGGTGGTGGCAGACTCGCAGCTTGATTTCTTGTCTTTACCTACAAGTTTCTTGAGGCCACAGAGTTTAGTCTCTGACGGCCCGCTTACTTTTATCATCACGTCTAAACCCAAAGTTTCCCCAAGAGGGATAGCGGCGTTTTTCTTGTTACTAGTCCAACAAGCAAGTTCTCTGCTTGTTCCACAGAAGAGGCTGATGTCAGGTGGCACATGCTATTACAATATAGTCTGAATACAGCATTACTCTACCGGTTTAATAAGAGAGATCTGAGTGTGCCAGGTGTGCTCCGGTATACTGGACATCTTTGATAACACCCAAGCGTGATACAAACATAAGGGTGGCTTCTGTGCGTTTGTATGGAAACAACAAACATACTTCTCAGATTACTTGACAAAATGAGTATATAGCACGCTGCTTCCCCTAGGCTGACCGCCTCGCTTCATCCTCCCTCCAAAAGAAGGATCCCCTCTGTTTTTTGTGATTGTGTGTCTGAGTGTTTTTCTATTTTGTCATTCTATTTATAGGTGAACAAAGAGTTTCACTGTGAACCTGGTGCCGCCTAACTATATGGTTTTAAACACTGTTATTTAATCTTGGACCGGTTTCACTTTTATTTAACTCACAGTACAGTATCATAGGTTGTGTTTTTTAATGCAGTTTTTGTTCTGCACATACACAATACATGACTTAAAAAAATAATTTCAGTAAAATGGGGTAAATTTCAGAAATCTGAACAGAAATTAATCAAAGCCAAAGTCATCCTGAAAAGTATAACCAGTCATTTGGGCAGATGAAGCCTATAAGCACTGGAAGCCAGAATAGTGACAAATATACAGAATGCACTGAAGCATGCATCATCGTGCAGTTCACTTTTATATTTCTTTGCAGTCTCCGATAGAGGGATTATGTGACAATGTTTTATGTATCTAACAGGAAATCTATTGCTCATTTCCAGCTCCACAATTTTATTCTGGGACTCTGCTGAAGTAACTGCATATGATTCAAAGTCTAAAATAATTCTTATGGATCTACTGAGACTCAGCAGCACCTTAGTTCATCCTCTGAAACAAGCAATTCTAAAACCATTATTAGTTACAGCCACACTAAAGTGTAAGACGCTTCCTCTGACTGCTAAGAAACCAAATGTTTAAAGGATTACTTGTACATACACTCACTTTATTATCTTTGATTTTGGTGTTTGTTTCATGTGAGCATCCTCCACAAAATAGGTACAACAGCTTGTATGTAAGCATAGCAGTGTTTTTGTTACTTATCTGCAGGTGAACCAATGAGATTTTAATCTTGTTAATAGCTCTATATGTGGCATTTGCAGGTCCTGTAATTCTGTTTTCACTTCTTGAAAGATGCCGCTCCATGGGACGTGTACCTGATTGATCCTTCTCTTATGTTTTCTTTTTCATCAGTAAGCTGCCAGTGCTTTCAGATTTTTAGGCTTCATTGATGTAAAACTGCATTTTACTGTGATTTAATTCATATCAGCATTTCTGTACTTGCTTGCAGAATCACTCTGGCACCGTGTATTCTTGTTTGGCTTTGATTGATAATTCTCAGCTGAATCACAAATTGAAATGATGTCACTCCATGTGAAGTGCACTGAGCTTAGTTTGATGTTTTTATTGTAGCTTATTTATCCTTCTCATATGTGCTTCCTTTTATGAGCCCAAAAAATATGACTGTGTTGTCAGTTAAAGTGTTTCGGCTGTGATTTAGTTCAAGGTCCACTTGTGCAGGCAATGTGATAGAAGTCTTTCACTCATCTCAGGCCAAGACAGATCAGCATTTGAAAGAGTCCTCTTTCAGGTTATAATGAGCTTGCTGGCCATCTTCGCTTCAGCGATGCTAATTTCAGCAGGAGAGGCTGTAAAATGAAACACTACTGAAGGGCACGGTAGAATTAAAAGTCAAGGATGGCTTCTTCAGCAGTGAAAGGAAGCTCTTCATTTGACCCTTGCGTTGACAATACAAGTCGGTTAATCCATGAAAAAGTTCTGCGGTACGCTCATGTTTTTATGCCCTTTAAAAGAAGAGGGTCAGCGGCTGAGGGTTAGTAACCTGGTAATAAAGAAACAGAGGCCCTTCACACTGTAAGTGGAGTATAAAATTCTCTAATGATGCACAACTGGAAACAGACAAGTTCATCGGCAGTCTCTGGCTTCTCAAATGAACAACAGCTGCTTCTGGAAGCGATAGCGTTGTAAACACACCCACCTGCTTAATTTCATTAACACCTCTTGAAGTTTAGGATACAGTTAACAGCTTGGCTCCTGAACTACAGTTTGTTTACTGCCTGTGGTCTGAAAATGGCTGTGGCTCTCTCTCTCTCGCTCGCAAACACACAACATCAAAACATCAGTCAGTGCTCACCCATCACTTTTTTTTATCCATAACTGCGCTCGCATCTGTAGTTTGTCTTTGTTCTGAAACATAAAGGTTTCATTCGGTGATCCTCGACAAAGAAGACAAAATGATTTTTGCTCACGAGTAACCCATTCACTCAGATCTTTGGTAAGCTGTAAATGTAATGTGCGCATCCTTTTTCTTTAGCTAAGTACAATACACTGTGTGCACCTTCTTGGTGCTATTATCTTTGCCTTTGGTTAGTTTGTCTGCTATTCACTCACAGTCTGTCTGTCTCTGTGTCAGCAGTGTTAAACCAAATCCACGATAGGCTTTTCTACCTCTTCTTAGTCAAGCACGAAAAACAGCTTTGATGAAAAATAAAAAAATAAAAAATAATTTTAAGCTTAATATCAATCTGCCTTTTTTTTTTAAATAAAATAGTTGCACTTTGATTATCAGGATAATTTGATGATAATGAGTTATTATCAATATTTTCATGATGGTAAATATACTGAGACACAATTACATTTTCAGTTTACAATTTAAAGTTATTCTGTTGTCTAGTCTTTAGTGTTAACTCCAACATCACTGCACCATCGAGAGCATCCTGACCAACTGTATAACAGTTTGGTACGGGAACTGCTCTGCCTCGGGCCGGAAGGCGTTGCAGAGGGTTGTGAAAACTGCCCAGCGCATCGCTGGAGCACCACTTCCTGCCATAAAGGACATCTACAGGAAGCGGTGTCTGAAAAGGGCTGGGAAAATCATCAAAGACCCCAGTCACCCATCACATGGACTCTTCACTCTCCTGCCCTCTGGGAGGCGCTACAGGAGCCTCCGGACTAAGACCACCAGGTACTGGAACAGCTTCTTCCCCACAGCTGTCAGACTCCCGAACTCTGCCTCCTGACATCTGACTCACATTAAACACATGGACTGGACATACACACACCCACAACCACCTACACACACACACACACACACACACACAAGGGACAACTGTACCCTCATACACACAATAATAACATGGACTGAACCACCACTCACAACCACTAGCACTTTATATAGCCTCTGTAGGAATTATCCACATATCTCACTTATCTTAACTGCACTACTGTATAATTCTGTGTAAATAATCATTCTGTACAATACGATAATTTTTAATTCTACAACTGTTTATAACCTGCATAGTTCACATTTCTGTATAACTGCATATCTCATATTTCTGTATATTTTTTTATTTCATATTTCTGTATAGTTTTTCATATTTATATCCTGTTCATAGCCTGTACATAGCTTGTACTCACTACAGCCTGTACATACTTATAGTTATAACATACCTTCATACCGTGTACATTATAACATACCATAATAGACCCATTTCTGTAATATACTTACATATCTATATTATTTGTAATATATCTATATCAGGCTAAAGCACTTCTGGATGGATGCAAACTGCATTTCGTTGCCTTGTACCTGTGACATGTGCAATGACAATAAAGCTGAAGCCTATTCTATTCTATTCTATTCTATTCTATTCACTTACAGTGATCACTTACATAGATATGTAGCATAACTGCATAACCTTGTGTAACGCAAAACAAATCATAAATCATTGCAGAGATTGTTTAGTGTTGTATTTCCTTGTACATTACTACCTCAGTCAGTAAAATTTGGGTTTTATTTGTCATTTCTGGCACTCATTCAGCATTCAAAGCTGTGCTGTACACAATTTGCTTTGTAGTTGTAATCATCGGTCCTTGGGTTTGATGCATTTTTCTGGGAACACGAGGATGGCCATTTTCAAACTAAAGATGGATGTTGAGTGAGGAGGGCAATAACATAAATAACTCACTGTTGACTCTTTTGGTTGTTATGGGTTTTCAACCTGCTGCTTGGCCCTGCCAGCCATAGCGCTGATTTCTCGCTCTCGCTATTCATCCTCCTCCTCCTCCCTGTTTTGTCATTTTCAAACTTGAGTCGGCATATTTTTTTTTCTTCTGCATAATGTGTGTTTCATATCTAAGAGATATGTGTTGGCTGGGTTCTTTGCTTTGTAGCTTCTGGGGTTATAATATGCTCTCTTTTACAGTTTACGCTGCTTGGCCTCATTTAGAGAGCACCCTAAGGTTCAGTGCGTTTCCTGCCAAATAAAAGTAAGTTCTTGGCAGTAAATGTTTGAAAGCACCCAAATGTTAAATGTGTCTGACTCGACTTCTGGCCATCACATGGCAACATCAGTCTTTCTGTTCCCTGAATTCAGTTTATAACACTGCAGTGGCTTCTCATGCAAAGGACTGACACCTATATTTTGGGGGAAATCCAAAGTTTGTAGAAACTGAGGGCATGTGTAATGTCAGCAGCACTACCTGAAACTCTGATTTGAGTGTCTGCAGAGGAACAGATAAACAGACTCAAAAACAGGCTAGGACTAAAATTCACAGACCTGCAGTGGACAGTAGGAGGAAGATGACCGTCAGGACATTGAAGGACTGCCGGCTGGAGATAGTCATCTTCTTGTCCTCATGTGGGAAGAAGGGAGGGAGCAGCAGGGTGGGGAGAGAGGGGGGGAAGGGCTGCTTTAGCTGGACGTGGGCATCCTCTGCTCACTGACAGCTTCTCTCACATGGCTGCTTCTTAGACTCAGGGCTCCTAATGGGAACAAGACAAGCAGGGGGGGGGGAGAGAAAAGATTAAGATATTTGATTTGGATTTCTGGAAGTTCCATCCAACTGTGTGGACAGCTTGTCTGGCAGTGAGCGTCCATGATGCCTTTCCCGAAATCTGTCCTAAGGCTTACATAACAGGACCGCTTGGGCATTCGGTTTAATTGAAACTGGCACTCTGGCAACACTGGGGCCAAAAGTTGTTCCATGCTTGCTTTTTCTTGTGTATAAGTCATGGTAAATTATAGCGATAATCATGAATATGTATACTTCCTTGAGCTGAAATTGTTGTCATTTTTTTAGTTGATTCTAATAAAACTGACTTTTTTTGAGAGATTAAAAGAACATCTTAAACTAGATGTCTTAGTTATGCAACTCTATAAGCTATGCGTTGCAGTAAGGAAAAACTGCACATATCATGCATTAAAAGTACGGTGCTCTAAGTAGAGCAAATATTTAATGAATTGCACAGAATCTGCTCTTTCAGCACAGTGTAAAGTTTTGTGATTGCAGAGCTGCTGTGGAGCACTTTGCTTGTAAGTGATGCATTGTGGGGGTTCGTGAATTCCTCTTGCACATTATCACCATTCGAAGCTTCGCTGTAGTCATCCCTCTACTGATGATAAGTAAGATTAATGGGGTGGCAGTACATTTCGCTTAGGCACACTTGTTTCTGATTTTTTTTTTTTATTTATTGCTTTAATAGCCTCATTATGTGCACAGAAATAGTATCTCTCTGTGCATTCGTTTAAGTTAATGTTTCTGATCATTTATATACGAGCCATTTGCAAATTTCGCATAAAAACACCCATTATTTACTCCCCGAACCTTTAAGATCCCATTTTTCTGAATGTAAACTTCATTCAAACATGTACCAGGATCATAGATTGCTTTAGCTGCAACATATGTGCCGAGAAACTTAAGAGTCTTCTTCTGCACGAGCTAGTTGGAAAATATTACAAGCTCGGCTCCTAAATTATTGAGGACCTGACAGAGGCTGACAGAGAAGGAGAAACTAAGGAAAGAGAGCAACAACAAGGGTGTAGAAGGCCCATCAGTGTTCCTGTCATAAAAATAATTCAGTTTATTGGTGGATCAAAGCCAGTCCAATGTTGCATCACCAACCTCCGACTTTTTTCTCGAGCTGTTTTGGTAACACTCCGAAGTATGGCGCAGATACAGCTCCATTTGGAGGGCGACTGGAAAGTTTAGTTTCTTTCACATGAGCACACAGTCAGAAGAGAAATGGTGCTAGTGGTGGGGCACTGCCTACGAGCCTAAAATTATTTATCAGAAATATGCAGACAACGTTCACCAGGTCAGATTTAAAAAGTGCTAGAGGTCAGAAACAAGCTATGTTTCTGTTTTTTGGTCAAGAGTTTACACGAGTAGCCACATCTGCCGATGAGTGGGTTCACAGTGAGGTAATGTTTGTGCAGACTAATGCTCAACATTCGTTCCAGATTTCCATTCTGGTCTTTGAAAGTTGAATAGCATCAATTAATTAAATGTTATTATGTTATTATGTTGTAATTTTTCAAGTAAACAGAATGTTTTTCAGATAGTCAAATGAAGACGTCAACATGTGCTGTGGAATATTTTGCACAAATCTTTCAGCTCCCTTATTTTTAAACCAAAAACTCACTGAGAAAATTATGTAGAGATATGTCAATTTTGAAAATGTGCTGTAAGTTGATTGCTTACAATGGTGCGGCCTGTTTTGCAGCTGGTACACAATGGATCACAGAGTGAGGATGAAACGGGCTGGCTGTGGAGTAAATAGCATTTGGCAATTTTTACACCTTTAACACCTTTTTGCACACTCGGGCAATTGATGCAGAAAGCAGCAAAGCTGTCAGGTCAGTTTGTCAGTTTTACGGAGCTGTAAAAGCGGAAAATGCAGGCCTCAGATATTAGAGGCCTTTCACAGGTCCAGAGCTTAAGATTTTATCCAAAGCCATTCATGAAAAACCGAAACCTCAAAGTAACCTGAGGGCAGAGAGATTCGTCAGATTAAAATACCTAGCCTTTATCCAAATTGCTGTTGACCTTAACAGACTTAAAAAGGGGAGGCAACGCCAGTACTGGCAGCAGGATGATAGCCTACACCAGTTAACAAGCATCCAACGTTAATAAGAGAGGAAAAGATGTTTTTCCCCAGCAGGTCACACGAGTTCTGCTAATGGCACAAAAAGAGAATTTTTTTCCTCAAGTGATAAAAATCTCACGTGATTAGAGGTGAGAAAATGCCTGCTGTCTTGAATTGCATACATGGACACACACTCAAGAGGAGCAGCAATATGATTAGACTCAAATGTAGACTCTATCCTTAAGAAGACATACGCTCCTATTCCAGGCTGGATAAACCATAACCTTAATAAGACATACAATTATCTTTATCTCGCTGAGACACAACCTATTGCTTTCTATAAATATGGCGTGTAAGCATGTGAGTGTGAGGTCATGCGCTATTGAGAAACATATCAGGCTCCCAAACTGAGCTATAGAGGCTAAACAAATATTTTAGAAGAAATTAAAGCTGTGCAAACACTGTGGAGAATCCCACTCTCTGTCACAGGTGCCGCCCCGTCTCCTATGTGTTAAATGGTTTCAATCCCAGATCAAGGAATAAATGCTGTGCATAACCCTTCCAATATACAATGAAGTTACTGTGGACCACATGGACAGACTGTGAGCTGCAAGTGAAGCACAGCAAGCTTTTTCTGTCAAAGTCTTTTAAAGCATTTTTTGATCTTAAAAGCTGTTCCTTCTTCAGAAAGCCAGGCAACGGGGGTCCCGGGAGACTTGTTAGAGTGGCATTTCATATATTTTTTTCCAGTCTTTTTATTTCTGGTGAAAGCTTTAGTGTACTGTCAGATGACAGCATGTAAAGTATAACGAGGGATTCCCATCCTTTCTAAACCCACTCCCCACAACCAACTCACTGCTGTGGTCTTTTATATACATTACTTGTTTTCCTGTATTGTCACATGGAGTCACCCTGCTCCCTACGCAGGCTATAAAAGGGCAAGGTTCACAGCATCACGGTGCACGGCTTGTTTGCGAAGACGTAAATGTTCAAGGGTTTGTGTAATGAGTCTGATGGTAGTGAAGCAGAGTATGTACTGTAAATACACAGGAGTGCATGTATACAGGCACACACAGCACAGCACACAGTGCATAGCTCCCTGGGACTTAAAATAGAACAAACTGTTCAGCCGAACAGACACACGACACAGATGGAGGGTCTAGATACTTGCTGTGTCTCAAATCAAACTAAAATATACATAAAGGCCATGGAAACACCCACTCTCTGAGTAAATGTGAAAGCTGCTCTGAGGGGAAACACTGTATTTCTACGAAAAAGCATGTAGATTTCATTTATCTGCCTGCGTGTTCCTCATTATTCGCTGAGAACAGAAGCAAATATTAAGTGTCCAATTGCTGCAGTAACCACTGCGAAGCTAGCAGCACACTTTTCATCACAACACAGCAGGAGACCCAAATCTGTCAGAAGTTTGATGAGGAAGAGCGCAGTGGAAGATTTTTGGGCTATTTGAAGATTACACACAGCGATAAGCGGGGCCTGTCTCATGAACATCCTTGTCCGAGTCTTATTTTTGTTCAAACATTAACTTTAAAGTATGCGACATGTTATTATGCTTTCTAAAAGTCATTATTTATTTATTTTGGCCTGCAGTGTCCCTTATCTGAGAAGCTTTCAAGTTTGTAAAGGCAAAATCTCGACATTACAATTCTCTCTCTCTCTCTCGCTGTCTTCCTCTCTACAGCTTAACTTTATTTTTAGACTAAACATTTAGGCCTGTCTTTCTGAGTATTCACATAACCTTTTTCTTCCATGGGTGATAGTAGTTGGATATTTATTCGCCCTCTGCGTCTCATTATAAGAGTAAATGCACTCTCTCTTACTTTGCTTGCCCTTAATCCATGTTAATGTGCGTTATCAATCACCCTAAAACACATGAGCATCCGCAGTGAAGTACAGTTTAGAGATGAGACTCCCACTTCACACAAGGGGAAGAGTGAGCAATAGCTAAGTGACTGTGGGTCTGCAGATGGGCTTGCGTCCAAATACATTCTGTTGCAGCCCTCTACCTAATTGATGCTCCCTTTGACTATCATCATAATAAATTGGATTTCGTTCACGTTTGATGGCATTAGAGCTTCACTCAGAAGCCCGACAGTGCTCCATTAGGACATGAGCCCATGTCAGGAGATTTAGAGCTGTGATCTAATGATTGTCATTGGCACAGAGGACTGAACTGTGTGCAGCATCAGTGAGTAAGGAGTGGCAGTCTAAGTCATTAAAAGCAATGACTGGTGAACATGTACAAGATGTGACACAGCTGATGATAAAAGAAAAACTGTCCTTAGAGGATAACAGTAGTCTGGGATATTTATTTATTTACTTAAGGGCAGTTTTAAAGTTTAAAAAAAAGAAAAGAAAGAAGTACAAAGTACTTTTAATTCACAATGCATAAAAAAGATAAACCTCAACCGCCTTTGCTCGTAAAATCAGTCCGCAGGAAAGACATTGCATCCTCTTTCAGTTTTAAGGTTTTACGTCTAAGGACATAAGATTAGATAAATATAACCTCAGATGAAGTACAGGACATGTCATGAAACGTAAACGTCAAACGTGTGATGTCATTTGCATGCGACACAACAATGGAGGACGTCGAGGCATTGCTTTTTGTCACGCTCGGGGACCATGGTGCTGATCTTTGTGCAGCCAGTTTCAAAAATAGCAGTTTTGATTTTTGTGAAGAAGACGCTCTCACAACTCATCGAGTGACAACATTGACTGTCCAATCGGTGGTTTGCAGTCTGCTGACGTCACAATTTTGGATTGGGTCAGCTCACTTGGAACCCCGGCCATGCAGACACTAAGGAAGTACCTGATATAAGGTACTGCCACCTAATAGAAAACCCTAAAAACTGAGTAAAGTTAAGCCGAGTTGAGTA